TATTTATTCTTTAATAAATACCATTAAAATGTATATACATTTATACATAAACACACATACTATTGGATTTTATTCACTAACATTTTATTAGTGAATTATGTTATTAATAATTTTAATATCTACTCTTGTGATATTGGTTTGCTGTTTTCGTGTTTGTGCTGTCTTCATCAAGTTTGGTAACAGGGTTAGGCCAATTTTATAAGATGAATTAAGTTGCTTTTGTTTTACTTCTGTGCCCTGGAACATTTTAAATAGCAAAGGTTCCTAGAAGCTTTGAAAGAACTCCCTGTAAAACCATATTCTTTGGGGAGTGTTGCCCTGTGACTTTTCCAATTTCTTCACTGTTCTTGATCTACGCATGCTTGCTACCTACCTGTTTTTGAAACACCGATAGCAATTTTCATTTTTTCTAGTGAAAAAGAGCTTATTTAAAAATAAGTAAACATAAAATTGAAAATGTATTCTCTCCTAATTTTTTGCATCTGTGATTAAATCCTTTTTGTCATTCCTCAAGTTGTATTTCAGATTTTCTTCTTTTTCCCTTTCATTAGGTCCATGCATTTTATTTATCTTTTAAAATAACCATCCTAAAATGAATTTATCAATAATTACTCCTTTAATTTCTGCTGTGGTATATATCAGCCTTGGTCCACAAGTGTTTGTTCTGGAGTCCAAGGTGAGAGACGAGTAGCCACCCAGAGGAAATTTTCTCCTGGCAAAGGCAGAAGTACAAGAGGAAAAGAGGAAAATGTACAAAGCCTCTTAGCACACGGCGTGAAGGTGGCACATGTCACTTCCACCTATGAGCCATTGGCCAAAGCAGTCACATAGTCAAGTCCAAAGTTATTAGGTAGGGACATATATTCTGCCCAAGATGAGGCCATGGTAAAAGTATACATCCAAGGATGGCTGGAAAATTAGAGTTGATAATGCCCGACGATAAGAACATCTATCATTCTGTTTAAAAGATACCTTGGACTAAGAGACATGCTTTAATGGTGTAAGTTTGATGCCTGCAGGAGTAAAGGCAATTAAAATCTAAAAAGCATAAGTAATATTTTTCCATTATAGTGTAGCACTGAATGTTATATTTGACATATTAAATACCTGAAGGCTTGGGAATATCTAAACCAACAGCAATTTATTGAGCAAATAGACTGGTCAATTTGTTGATTCCCTGAAACTTATGACTTTGTGATCTTATACTATAAATCCCTTTATAGTAGGTGAGGAAAGAGCAGCCTGGAGAGGTCAAGTAAAATGACTGGCCATAATTATACTGAGCTTGTCACCTGTTTAGTTTTCTCTCTTGTACTGGAACCTGTAGCCTGAATTCTGTTCTCTAGACCGGAGTGGTCCAATAGAACTTACTGTGATGAGCGAGATGTTCGATTTCCCTAATATGGTAGTCACTAGCCTCATGTGGTTATTGGGTATTTGAAATGTGGTTAACGTAATTGAAGAACTGAATTTCTAATTTTATTTAACTTAACTTAAAATTAAAATTAACCAAATGTCTCAAGGACTCCTGAGTTGGACAGGGCAGCTCTAGCAAATGCTTGGACTCAGAATGAAGATGCTAAAACCAATCTAACTCAGGGGCTCCTAAATGGACTATCATATGTCAAAGGAAACATCTCAGACAACTAGTACAACATTGTTGAAGGAAGTAAGAAGCCTATATTTTGTTTGTAAAAGCAAGCCATTTGGCCAAACCTAAGGTCAATAGGTCAACGCTTAAGAAGTATAATCTTCCCATAGGTATATAAGTCTGGTATATAAGAAATGCTACTTGAAACAAAACAAAACAAAACAAAACAAAACAAAACAAAACAAAACAAAACAAAATAAAATAAAAAAGAAATATAATTTTCTCTTTTTCCTCCTCCTCTTTCCTCAAATGAACTTAATTTTAATTTTAAATCTATTCTTCTGATGGCAGAAATTAAATTTCAGGAAATTTAAGGCTCCTTTATTCTACATCTTGGCCATTGCTGCCTTCTCGTCATCTTCAATCCCAACAGCTTTCACATCCAGCTCTTTCAGGTACTTCTGTATAGTCTCATGGTACATACACGTACAAATCATTTGCACGTGGCTTGGTGCAGGGAAGTCTGGGGCCACCACAAAACTGTGGTATAGGCACTTTAGGTACTCCACGTAGATATCTTTAATGCTCCTATGTTTTAGAAGGCAGAGGATCTCTGGGAGCTTTGCCACTCCTAGCCTTCTCTGAAGAATGGGTGTGTGGATCCTCCATTGTCCTCAGATCCTCCCAAAATATATATTTGTCTTCAACCTGCCTGCCTCCAACTAAAGTTTGGACTGTGGGAGGTTGTGAGATACAAGCTAATTTCTTGGAGATATCCACTGTAGTAGTCAGCTTAGATTCAATTATGTGGGAGTAACAAAAAATCCCCAAAGCTCTGACATATAACAACGAAGGTATATTTTTCACGCTGGTTGGATGGCCATGACTCTGGTCCATAGCAGCCCATAAGTGGCTCATTGCTGGTCTTATGATAAGTGAAGAAAGGGAATAGGATCACAAAAATGACTTTTAAAACTTCTGCTTGGAAGTGGCATAAATCACACCATTGATCTTGACCTCAATGGGAAGATGAGCTAGGCAGTGAAATTTTTGAACAATAATAAAATCTGCATGTTTATCATCTACATTTCCTCTCCCTCTCTCTCACCCCACTTCCTTCTCATCATCTTCAACACCCCACAGCCTATAGATTCTTTATCTAGAATAGGCAGGATAATATATTCTTCATACTCTACTATTTACGGCATAGACTATTAAAGTTCCAAAGCCCACATTCTTGAAACTCAAACTCTTTCTTTAAAAATTCTGTTCTCTCACATGTGTTTCTGAAGCCTGCTTTGAAAGATAAAAAGAGTAGACTTGACACTCCTTTCTCTTTTTTCTGCACTGTCATCCCTTCCCTGGGGTAGAAAGCAGAGAAAGCTCTGGCTTCTTCTTGAATGGAGGAAATGCTCAGGAAATATGTGAAGAAGCCATTGCTAAATAAAATATTATTGGATCATGCTCTAGTAAGGTAGGCTGTAATTTGCGGAGAAGCAGAAATTTCCCTTTTAGAACTGAAATATCTTGGGATTGAAGGCAGAGGCTGGTATGATATTGGAACTGTCTGCCAGAGTCCTCTAAGACTAGTGCTATCCAATAGAACTTTCTGTGATGATAGGAATTAGCTGTATCTATACTGTTCCGCACAGCAGCCTCTATACACATGTGGCTAGTAAGCATTTAAAATGTGTCTAGGATGACTGAGAAACCAAAATTTTAATTTAATTTTATTTTAATTAATTTAATTTTTAATAGCCACATGTGGTTGGTGACTACTTTATTGGACAGTGCAGTTCTATACCTTATCGGAGATAGGGTTGCTAAAAGTCATACAGTGCCTTTAATGTCTCTCTCTCTCTCTCTCTACATATATATATATATATGTAAACAATGCTGTGCCTTGGATTTTTAAAAAAAATCTCAAAATGGAAACAATTTCAGTTCATATAAAAATTATATTTGGTAGCTGAAGGAAACTGGACTTTGGGTGGTGAACACATAATAGAATATACAGATGTCAAATGATAATGTACACCTGAAAATTATATGATTTTATTAACCAATGTTACCCAATAAGCTTAATTTAAAAAAAAAATTGACATTTAGGCATAGCACAGTTGGTTAAAAACAAATAATGCTTTCGTTTATTAATTGGCTAGAGCTCCATGACCTAATAAGCAGAGGCTAAATCCACAATTAATTAAAGATTTCATGTTCATTCAGCCAAGACATGCCTCAAACCATCTTTTGTTCAGCTGGCCAGCAGGATACTTGCAGCCATATTTAGGACATCTTGCAACTATAATCAACATATGCAAAATATCCCATTTCAAAAAAGTTCTTTCATTTATCAGATTAGAAATTCTGTTGTAGAAATAGCATTTTTCCCTATTATGCTAACTATAATCATATTTGTAGTAAATGAATATAACATAATGTATTATGTAGACATTTGTTACTTGATTATTGGTAATTTAACAAATAGTTCTCTATCTTTGCTACCTATTGGGCAGTATTATTTCTCTATTAGAGTTGAGGAAACTGAAGCATAGACATGTCGTGCTTTTTTTCTTAAGGTTATACAATTGGTATTTGGAATTCTAATATATGAACTTATATCTGTTTGATCTGAAGCCCCTAGCATCCAACAATACTGCTCTTACTTGAAAGATAATGATAAAACCTAATTTGAGTCACCTGTCTTTTCCTAAGGACCGAATCTGCAGAAAGTTACAATCCTTTTTCAAAGAGCCAATTGATACCAGTGGGATACTGTTGTGTAGGACACTCCAGACCTGCTACAGCTGATGCCCCTTGGTCTCCTGGGGTGGAAGAGACATGTGATTAGCTATGAGACTGGAATCTAAGTCATTCAAGAAATTTGTCCTAGTCAAATTAGGCCCGTATATGCGATGCTGCTATCATTATATCCTTCTGTATTGACTTCTGGTTACCTATTGGGTTTGGTGAAAATTAAGACTCAAACTTCGGGGATGCATGCTATACTTGGTTTAAAATCTGCCCGTCAACCCCTGTACCCCACGCTTAACCCTGCACCTCAACATAAATCAGGTGACCTTATGCAATTTCATGAGTACCTTCTAGTATAAATCTTCCTCTTGTGAATCCAAAACAGCAATGCCTCCTGTTCACTTGTAATACAACGAAAGACAGATAAATGCTCATTTTATTTGCTGTTGTATTCTTGGTTCCATTTTGTTATTTTTAAAGCAGATAACATTTCCCTTTCTAGGATGTTAAAGTTCAAAGGCCTTGGCGACGCTGCTTTCTCCCACCACTGCACTCCATTGTGCTTGCAAAGTTTGGACGGAGGAAAGGTGGGCGCCGGGGCTCGAAACTACAAGTCCCAGAATGCACGGCTCCCTGCGCACAGGCGCAGCGGGGACCACCCGGCCAGCGGGCCAGCCAGCCTGCGGAGACTCCCGGGTCTCCGCGCGGGACTGGGGCTGGGGGCGGACAGCCGGGGCGGACCTGGCCGGCGCCGAAGGCGACCCTGGGCATTATTATGAAGTCGCCGCGGAGCGCATGAGGAGGATGCGGCAGCAGGCGCCGCGGCAGGAGGAGGAATAGGCGGTGGTGCCCTCGAGAGGGAACCGCGCGCGGGCCAGAAGGCTCCTGGAGGCACCGCAGTACCGCCGCCGTCGCCCGGGGAGGCTCCGCACGAGAGCCATGTAACCCTGCGGCGAGCTCCGGGCTGCTCCGTCCTTCCCCAACTCCCGGGCTAGCGCGGTAGCGGGGCCAAGATGAAGAAGCAGTTCAATCGCATGCGCCAGCTGGCCAACCAGACGGTGGGCAGGTAGGTCACCCGCTGGCAGCCGCGGGCCGGTGCGCGCCTGCTAGGCTGCATTCGCCGGGGCGTGCAGGTGATGGATCCCGCCCGGCCTCCTGTCCTCCTTCCTTCCCTCCCCGCCGTTGCTCTCCCTGCGCTGGCTGGCCCCCTCGGGGCGTCGCTCGCAGACGCGACCCCTCCTCTATGAACTTCTTAGATACTGGAGCCCTTCTCATGCTCTGTCTGCTGTTACCGGGCTCTGGTTGTCAAGCGCAAAGTGTGACGCATCCTTTACCTGCGTCCCCAGCTGCCCCTTCACCTCGTCCTCTCCGCCTTTCCCTGGGGCTCCCTTTTCCCTTTGCCAGCATAGCTTCCTGGAAACAGGTGTTTGCTCTGAATGTGCTGGAGGCAACCGAACCGCAGTCGCTCTCAGAAGAGTCCTCCTCTGTGCCGAGTTCAGGGCTTCTCAGGGGTCCAGGGCAAGTGTTGGGCCTGGTCGGCTTGGCAGAGCTGAATCTCCCTCCTGCTGTGTTTGTTCTGGGACTGTGCCTGTACGAGGTTCTGGATCTCTTTCCTGGCTGGGTTTGTTAAGGCGTTATGTGGTGGGGAGAGGATCTGAAGGGGTGGGGGGCATGGGGGCAGGGAAGGTGTTGGTGGAATGGCGCTGCTGTGGCTGCTGTCGGCTTGGTCCTAAGATTGTTTTCAGTGGAGGGAGAGAGGCTGCAGAAAGGCCCAATTCCTCAGGCAGATGAGATAAGCAGAGGATCACAGCCAGGTAGGGGAGGACACAGCCCCCACAGTCAGAATGAGCTAGGCCCTAGGAAGCTGCAAGACCCAGCCCACTGTCATCACGGTGAAAATGGGCTACATCTGGGCTAGTGTCTCCAGGAGCGGCTTTGCGGCTTGCCAACATCTATTAATGTTACATAAGGATTCTGGTGGGTCTCTTCCAAAGCTAGACATGCTCTGAACACAGGATTGTTCGGTAGAGGGGATTTTTCATGGAATTTCTGCCCCTGAGGAAGGATTTCCATTGCTGCTGTGGCGAAGGAATTCAGGTGTGCAGTTCTAAAGCCAGTGGAAAGCAGAGAACCTAGTCTTGGGTGCAATTCAAGTGCAAGCTCAACACCTCGAGAGCTCTCCACTAGCTTTACTAAGAAACTAAATACCTTTCTTGGGGGGGAAGTGGAGCCTGAACAGGCATCTGGTTTAGTGGGGGTGGGGACATCCATAGGGAAATAGGGGACACTGAACTACCATGTAAGCATACTGCCCTAATTACAGTGGGCATTTGAGGGCAGGGCACGCTGTGGTCTTATGCTTCCAGGGACTCCAGATGGCTTCCAAATAACGATGTCTAAAATTGACTTGGATTCATTTTCCTTTCCCGAACACATGTGCTGTAACATGAGGGAGAATTTATGAATAGCAGAGTCAGATTAGCCCAGGTTTCTGGCATGGTCTTGCCACAGATATAGCCTCACGTGGGCTGTCTTTTGATATATTGGATGCTGAAATATTGTTTTTCTGTATTGGTTGTTTAGCAGGTGACAGTCAAGCTAACCTGTATTAACGTCTTGACTTACGCATCACCCTGCAGGCTGGCATCAGTCATCAAATCAGACCAACCAAGTGATCAGTAGGCCCCTGACTGTAGACTTGGATTGCCAGTCCCTCTTGGTCTTGGGGTTTCAGTTCAGTGCTTGAATCTAAATGTTAGAATGTGTTTATGCTTCCTCCCTGTCCCCCTGAAACACAACTCTTTGTCCTTTTTCATGACTCGTTTAGAGGTGGTAAGATTTGTGACTCTTGGGCATAAAATCTTATTTTTCACCCTTATCTGTGAAGGGAATGACAAAGGGAGAGGGGAAATTGGGTTTCAGAAGGTGGTCTTTTTGAAAGCACATTCTTGGACATTCAAACAGCTGGTCACCAACAGGTACTTTGTACTTGCTTTGGAACTCTGATGAATGCTGGCTTGTTGATGAATTCTGTCTCTTAATTAGATGACATCTGTTGTGTCATGGGCCATGTATATGACTGATACACATTAGTTCACTATTGTGTATCACTCAATACATGCATTTTAATGACATTCAGAGTGACCCTTCTAAAGCAAAAATCAGTTCATGTTACTTTGCTGTTTAAAAGCTTCCAGTGGCATCTCATTTACACGTAGTGTCCCAAATCTTTCCAATGTCCTACAAGACCATACCTGACTTGATCCCTCTTTGTCTTTCCATACTCATTCTGTTCCACCTGCTTCTCATTCGTTCACTGTTCTCCAGCCACAGTGGCCTTCCCTGCCCCAAGCACACCAAGCTCATTTCCATCTGCGGCTTTATTCTTGCTATTTCCCCATTTTCCTTGTCTGGGTGAGGTTATGCTCTTCCCATATGCCTCATCCTTATCACTCAGCTCTTAGCTCAAGGGTCTTTGAGAGACTATCCCTTCCCTATTCATTCTCTAGCCCATTGTCCTGTTATTTTTTGTCATATTACTCACCACTCTTTGAAATACCCTTATTTTTCCTTTTCTTGTTTTCTTGTCTGTTTATCCCCAATAGAATGTATTGATCACTGTTGGATGCTCAGTATATATACCACAATGCCTTATAGACAGCTGGTGCTCAAGTCATGTTTATTGACAAGATTAAAATAATTTACTGTAGAGTCCACATGGATAAATAAAAATGGCAGCATTTACTTTTATTGAGAATGTAGTGAGGCATGATCCTAATGTTTCTTTTCTAAATCAGTAGAAGCAACAGGTTTGGAAGTTTGAAATTTAGGTGTGGAATTGGTAGATCACTTTATGGATTTGCTTTTGCATGTCTTTGGATTCTTATCCTTGTGTGTCTTTGAAGTGAGGACTTTCCTCTTTTTGAGGGAAGACAGAGAGATGGGCTTCAGAGTTTTTTGTGCTCATAGCTCCTCTTCCAGCTCGCCTTCCACAAGTTGCAGGTTCTGGAGGTTTGCATATAAAACTGCTCGGGATGGGTTCCAATCACTGTAACAGGGGAATTGCTGGGCTTGAATGTACTCTGTAGAATTCCAAAAATTCTCTTAGAATCTGTATTCTAAAGGCATACTATGGTTATATTGTAATTTTTATCCTTATTATTTATCTTTTCCACTAGACTTTAAGCTCCTTGTGGTCAGGGGTAACTGCCCTAATGCCTGACGTATAGCAGGTTCTCTGAAATTCTTGGGCACCTGAATGAATGAGTGAGCAAAAGATCCATGTATCATAGATAGGGAAGTGGTTTGAAGTAGTTCAAAGATGAGAGAAGATCCTGACACAGTGCCTCTTTCATTCAAGATGGGATTGGGGGTTCAGAGGAGTGAAGCACAGCTGTACCACTAGGTTTGGAAGGACAGAGCAAGATTTAAGATAGGAATTAGTTCATGCCTGATTTATGATGCCATTACTTTTTTTTTTTTACCTTCCAGAGAATCTGTTGATTGCTGGGGTGAGAAGCACTCTGAAAGGCATTGAGTAGTTTTCTTGGAAGCGAGTGGCATTTGGTTTGTGTTGGGTGGACTAAAGCCCTGTGCTGGAATTTAGAGACCTTCTAAGTGAAAGAGAAAATGGTAGTGAAATCAGCACCTTGATCTGGTGAGGAAGATATTTTTTTCAGTCTGCACAAAGGAGGTCACAGCAGCCCTCACCGCAGAGGGCTATTATGAGGTTAAAGGGAACCTGGCTTACATCAAGTGCTTGACCAATGGTTAGTGAAGTTCATTGTCATTTTCTTCTTCTGCTTGCCCATTGAATCCAAAAATGTTGATCGCCTAAGTTGCAAGGGCTTCCTAGAAACTGATTCCAACAGCCACTGCCCAGTGATGGCTGTAAATGGGCTCTGTGCTCTTGTACAAAAATGAGTACTATTCAGAGTGTCTGAGGTTAGGCAATGAGCTATAGAAGTGTGAAAGGGGTGCAGGGCTGGTTGGGTTGGATTATTTGGTTTTAGAGGCTATGTATTGGAGGGTAGAAGACAAAATTTTGTCCAGAGTCATTTTTCATTTCTAGATTGCTCAGCATGCGAATGGGCTTGGTTTCTAGTGCATAGCTTGGTTGGGTATCATTGCTGCTTTGCAGCTTTCAGGATGCAACTACAGGGTCCAGGTGCTGGCCAGTAGGACCGAGATAGATGCTGAGGATGCAGCAGCCTCTAGGAGTGCTGGTACTGCAGGCATTTTTGCTCAGGTCAAAGCAACTGAAGTCACTGAGGATCTTTTCCTTAAAGTTTCTCTGAGGCCCTACTCTGCCCATCAGCAGGCCTCTTACGAGCCAAGACCTAGTCTGTAGTATATCAGGGAAAAGTCAGAACCAAGTCTACATTAGTCATCAGACTGCTTCATTCCCACCTGTCTCCCTGACTGTGCGTTGAACCTATCACACCGACATAGACCCTGCCATGTCTTCCTGTTAGCCCAGCAGTACCGGGCAGTACCGGGCAGTACCGGGCAGACCTGGTTTTATCCCCCAAGGAGCACCATGAACATTTATTAGGTCTCAGCGTGAAGTTTTTTGTTTTGTTTTGTTTTGTTTTTTGTATTAGAGTTGTATGGAAGTTATGTCTTGCCACCTGCTGTGGTATATATATGTGAGAGATAACAGAATGTACTCACCCATTGATGAATGGGCTAGCAAATCTGGAGAGAATATTTTTTGCTCCTATTTTCTAAGCTCCTTACTGTGCAGATCTGCCAGCTTTCAGCCTTCTGCTGGGCTGTACTCAGCAGTGAGCCTGAGGCTGCCTGAATTTCCTGCAGAATTCTGTTATCCCAGACCTGCAAGTCATTGTGAGGGAGCCATTCTCTCCAACAGCAATTAATGACTTTCCCTCCCACTTTGCCTCCACCAAAGAAATTTATCAGTATTGATTAGTATTTTTTCATGATTGGTGATAGGCCATTTTTTCTTCCTCTAGAAAAAGTGAATCAGTAGCTATGTGAGTAAAACAGTAATTTAATTTATAATTGTACTATTTAGAGGGGATTAGTAAGCATCCCTTTTATTAA